ATAAACATACTTTTATTAATGATATACTGAATAAGATTTTGAATGAATTTTTCCATCAATTTATCACTGAACATATTCTTTATCTCTAGTTACTCCATGATTTCTCTCTGAAGACTTGGAGCATAGAATTCATGATATCTCAGATTTCATTCTTTTGATTTACTCCTTTAATAAATTATCGAATTTATTACTTTTCCATTTTGTTGCATTTCTCACCAATTTCACCGATTCATTTTTTCCTTTTATCGTTTAGCTTCATGATGTCAATGAATCATGATATTATCGTCCAATAACGAGAAACAATTTTACAGATTTTAAAGGTTGGAATGGAGCGATTGGAGAAAACAAAAGAAATTGAATTTGAATGTTATTAACTTTTCCTTGTTATCAAACCAATTCATCTGTAAAATATTGTCGATATTATTTACTGACGAGAGAAATGGTGAAAAGTTATGAACAAAATTGATTCACAATTATACAATGGGAGAACTTGGAATAGAAATATTATCTCATGAGATCAAAAATGATGTTATTACTTGTTGTTGTTCGAACAATAAAACAATGAAAAAAGAAAATTCAGGTTAAAATCAGTCTTATTCACATCAACATGAAACAAGGTTCAGTTACAAGTGATCTTGGAAAAAGGTTAGAATAAAGTCGAATTGAAAGAGACGAAAAGATGGCGAAGAGAAACAGTAAACCTGAGATTCATTCAATCATCAATTTTATTATTGCCTTACTCTTCATGACTTTTTTCCCTTCTCTTCATCCTTTGACTTTTTTTCTCTGCTCATCTTACACAAATGAAAATCCATTATCAGCAGATTGTTGGATGAAGAAGAGTGAAAAAATGCTCTTGATCATCATCTTCATCTTACCTCTTGCTGGTTCCTCCTTGAGAATCAAAATTATCTGTAAATTTTTGGACTCTTGAAAACTATTATTTCTTACCATTGCGTTACCTTTAACTTTGATAAGAACAAGTTGAAGATGAACAAAAGATGAGAAGAAGAAAAGAGTGCAAGAAATTGCTGATGATGATGATGATACATCTTGAAATTCTTTATATAACACAGATAAATCATGTTTCAGTCTGAAGAGAGAGCGAGAGAGAAAAAAATGATTTCTTCATTTCATATTTTTTACTTTTTTTACTCCATTCGAAGCAATATTACTTTGTAAAGCACACATTGGACCAAATTATCAAATATATATTTTTATTTCTGTCGAGTTGGTCAATTTTAGTTTGCCATGTTATTTGAGTTACAATTTAAACCGCTGATTCCTCATCCTGACAACATAATTTTTTTCTGGATATTTTTCATCAAATAACTTCCATCATCTTGTCTCACACAATATCAATTTCTCATTGTCTTTCTTTCTTCTTCTCTTCACCTTCCATCTTGAGAAGTTCATTATCACACCGATTATCATTTTATTTGAAACGCCAACTTGAATGCTCAGCATTCTTTTTGTCTTCAACTTTCATTATTCTTTCAATCTGATTTTAATTCGCTTATTTTTCACTTTAATAATCTCTCACCAGTCAATCATAACTGAGATAAAAGCCTTTTACAACCAACATGAAACTTCACGATGAAAAGAAAAGAATTTTTGGCCAGAAAAAAAGCTCGAAATTCACCAGAGAAATGAAGCTTTAATTAGCTTTAATTGAAGACTAAATGAATTAAAATTTCTTGTTCGTTAACTCCATGTTGGAATGAAGGTGAAAACAAAAAGTCAGAGTAAACACAATTTCAAAGTTGAAATGCATTAATCTGTCATCATTTTCAATTTACTTGAAAACAATATCAAAAAAGATTCAACATTTAATATCAGGATAATGATTGTTATTGAAATGAAAAAAAGTAAACTTTTCAATTGCATTTAAGCTGGAAATGATTATGAGCCAAGATTGAAAAGGTTCAATATTAAACATGATAATGTTTCGCCTTGTTCATCACTTGCCTCAACCTTTATCCTTAACTCATCTTTCAATTGATTGCTATTTGCTTAACGAGAGTTTTCGGTTAATCGGTGAAAACAAAAGTTACTGTTAAACACTCAGCAACTGTCATGAAAGAAGAAAATGATTTGATTCTTTAAACTGTTTCCTTTGCACACTTTCATCATGAAGAGATGATGATGATGATAATTCCCTGATGATGGACTTTGTTAATAACATTTATCTTGATGGTTTCTTTGTTTTCTCACAAACAACGAAAATCGCTTCATACTTTTTTTGCCATTCATTGTTAAGCTCAATGTTTCATATTTTGTTACCTGAAGATGATGAGAATCATGAGAGAGAGAAAGAGAAACATTCTGGTTATCCTAATGATTTATCTGATGATTACTGACGATGTTAGTTCTGTGGGTTTTAGGAGGCTCAAAATTGAACAAGAAAAAAAAGTGAAACAAGAATAAGAAAATGAAACAAAAAAAAGTAAAAGTCATCATTTTTATAATAACTTTCAACAATTGATGATGATAATGGTAATAATGATGATAATAATGACGATGTTGATGAGGTTTTACTTGCTTCCCACAGATTTTTTTCATTGTATTAAGCTACTTATTTTATTAATACTTAATACTATTATAAACTACTGTTGTTGATATTATTAACTACAATAACTCAACATTGTCAACTTTGATTTTGTCAACTTGCATTTTCAATTTAATTTTCATCATTTTTCTCTTCCATTTGTGTGCTTTTTCATTGCTCCTAATGTTAATAGTTTTTGTTTTTTTATTGTGAGAGAAACGCTTTTTTACTTGTTTTTGTGTTTATAAACACAATCAACTTTCAATTGTAATCACTATTACCATGTATCGTGTTGATAAACAACGAAAAGAAAAATGAATTTCTTTTCATCAACTCCATTAAAGTGCAAGCAATTAACCAAACCAATTTAAAACTCTACCATAAGCTAGCACTTTACTTGTTGTTTCAACAGCTACATAAAATGCTTTCCTTTCGAGCCAGAATTTTTTGCTTTTTTATTCCAAGGGAACTTTCAGCACGTTTATGTTCTGTAGAAAATTTAGCAGAAATTTCGGTGCGGTAATCATGATAAACTCCAAATATGATGAAATACTCTTACAAATTATTAGGGAAATGGCAGTAAAACAATTACATAAGCAAGTGAAGTAAAGGTTTAGCAAAAGTTTGTTTTCATTGATTTGAAAAACAAAAAATTTCATTTTTATCTCGATTTTGTTGAAAAACGAAAATCCAATGGAAATCGAAACGTCAAAATCACTTTCTCAAGTGGATCAGATAATTTCATCCAATGGTAAAGCTAGATAATCCATATTCAGCTCAAGCGCAACATGAAATGATTACAGTTAATAAGGCAAAAGTAAATATGAAACAATATTTAATTTTAAAAATGAAATTGCAACTCATGAAAATTCATTACCAGAACTGAATCTGGTAAACTCTTGACTCTAGTTTTTGGGTTGTTTTTTATATTAAAATCAATCAACTGAACAAGCGAAACAGACTAATGTTTCGTTTAATGAGATCCCAAGAGTAACGGCAAAAGTTATTTCAAATGTAAGGCAATAAAATGGTTAATTGGTTTACTTTTTGGTCACCAATTATGTTCAGTTTGATCAAGTTCGTTATTCTTGATTCATCATTAACATCACTTGATACCTGTTGTTTGAAGGTGAATTTAATTTTAATTACATTATTGGTTAAAAGGTTTACAAATTGAAATGATTTATTTAGCCTTTTGTTTTTGATGAATAATTTGTATTCAATCTTGTTTATCCATTACACATTTAAATGTTGAATGTGACTGAAATAATGATAATGATAATGGTTCATGTTTACCTGAATATTTAGCCTCATCATCACTCATACCATTAAATTATCATTATTCAATTGGAATGGTGATTATTACCATTATTATTATTGATAACACACATGATGTTTACACTGACAATCCAAAGCCAAACAGATTTTTTTGCTCAAACTCATCTCATGTTGACAGGATCAATTTGAATCACCTTTTCCCCATTAAACTTTCACTTGGAAAAGTAATTTATTGTTGATCAATTATTACCTGACTGATTGATGCAGTGGCTAACCCAATGTTGATCATTTGTTGAAGGTTAAAAGAAACAAGAAAATTGACAAAAAAAGCGAATGATGAATCAGTGGATGAAAGTGGTGAACCATCAAATGCTGCTAATGATTTATTGTAATATAATATTAGTTTACTGGAATGGATCAGAATGTTGAAAAGTGTTCAACTTTCTCAACTCCTTTTTGCTTGGTGATTTATGATTTTGATTCAACTTTCATCACAACCATGATAATAATGATGATGAACAAATCATCATAATCATTTCCATTTGGCAAGAAAAAGGATTGAATAACATTTTGTTTATCCATTAAATTACAGTTGAGTTGAGCATATTGATGATATTAATATGAGAATGAGAAGATCAATGAAGAGTGAAGATGAATAAAAAAAGTTTACGTGAAACTGGAAAAAGTAAAAGTTATCAGAATCCATTAAATAAACAAAATGATTTGACTTATTACTTTGCCCTTGATTTGATAATGAAATGAAAATAATCATTTTGTAACCTTAATAATAATGTAATGATAAAAAATGAACTTTACTCAGTCGAGTGAACAAAAGACGAGAAAAGGTGCAACCACTGAAACTCATATTCAATGACTATGCATTGGTCAAACAGAACTTTTAATTTTCTCATTTTTTTAATTTTTTTATTTTTCGTTTTTATTTTTCAGCTTTAGATAAAGATTTTGTTTTGTTTTTTGCAACCAAATGTTATGCTCAATCCATTCCCTTTGCACTTGACCATTGCATGAGACTGAACATGGAAAACATGAAATGACAATTTGCATTTATGAACCTCAATCGATACAAAATGAAGACTCGAAAAGCTAATTTTTTTGACATTCTTTTTTCTTTTCAATCATTTTCTTTCATCTTTACCAATTGAATAATATTCAGTCAATGAAAGGAATCATTATCAACAACAATAACAATAACAGTAACAATAATGCTAATAACAATTGCAACAACACTGGTCAATCAAATTACTGTGGACCAATCAACTCGACTAATGCAATTCATTTAACGGATTACAATAGTTCATCTTCAATGAAAGTGCCTTTCTCCAATCATCCTTATCTTCATCATCACCAAGCTCATCATACAATCTCTCAATCACCAATTAATCGTTTATCCTCACAACAATCAATGACCAGTGATTCTCCTAGTCTCTATCAATCTCATAATAATAATCATTCACTGCAATCAACGATAACAAACAGTAACACTGTGACCATATTAACATCATCATTATCATCTAATCAACCCATTGTAACATCATCCTCATCATCATTATCATCATTAACTGGAAACCCAACAGCCACTGTAACCACAACAGGAACAGCCCAAGGATCCTCTTATTATTTGAACAACTTGACTTCACTCCAAGGATCAGGATCGACAGTGAATAATGCCAACTTACATGCTGATGTTTATCCAGTCAACAACTTGTCTCACCAACCGCAACACTTTGCAACCCTTTCATATCCACGGCGAGTCCGGGTCTTACCTTCAAACACCTTTACCATCAGATCAACCGATGATATCGACTCTCATCATCACACGGATGTGTGATGAAACAATGTTCAACTTACCTTCCCAACATTCAGATTAACATTGTTTTCACTTATCATTTTACTTTCCTACTAACTTGTCACATGAACCATTTGTGATAAAATAATAAACTATGAAAGTCACTTTTTTACAAATTGAATGTATTATAATGAAAATTGTATATTAATATTTACTTGACGATTCAAATTATCACGATAATTGTGTAAAATTATTAATCTCTTTTTCTTGCTTTCTTTCATGTTCTAATCTATTTTGTAAACACTTCATTCACATAATCATTTTGAGTAATTTCTGCCCAATCTTATGATGCCGATGATTTCAAAGAAAAATCACAATTCTCTTGTATTCTGTTTTGCTTTTTGGCCATCATCTTATCATATTTTTCTGTCTCATGATATTGTGAATAATTTGAATCGAGAAACCCTTAAATTCTTTGTAAATAAAATTTGAAATAAAAATTGTCGAGTTTTTCCAAGAAAGCGTGGTTTATTTCTGGTTTCTCTCCCTTTTATAAGGGCTACAGTTTAACTAAAATTATCTTGTTCCCATATATGGGTCTAAAAAAAGACTACTACAAGCCAAGTCTTTCTTGGCTTGCAACATGCATGTAATTCTAAATTTAGTTTACATATTCCGACGGCCTTTCTGAGCAGCCCACTGCTCAGTTACATTTTAATCAAACAATTGCACCAGTGTCCTTTATTTCCACCAAGAGTTGTTGTCCTCGTTTGACTGGAACATTTACCGGTAGCGCTGTGATCACAACAGGTTTGTAGCAAAATTGGTGATGCCAGATTTGTTTATTGTCTTCTATTGGGGTGTAATCCAGTCTCAATATTGAACCTATTTCATGTCCTAACTTCTTTTCAATTTCTGCTTTTAAGACCGAACCTGGGGCCTTTAAGGAAATTCCTTCTAAGAGGAAAGTTCTATCTAAGTAATTAATCGTGAATTTTGTGTGTGTGGCACCGTGATTTTTTGCACTACGTATGGGATTCGAGATGGTCAAGATGCTATTTGTACTAGTAGAGGGAGTAGGGTTTTCATTGATAATCGGTTGTGTTTTAGACATGTTGCATTGAGCTATTTCATCTTCTAATGTAACAACTTTTTCCTGTAATTGTTTGATTTTCGATTCTTTTTCTTCAAGGCATTTATTTTGACCCGAAAGTGTAATGATACTTCTATTAAAGAGTGATCGTAACTCTTCTAACTCTAGTCTAATTTTCAATACCTCATCCATACAGATGTCAAGGTGAAATTGTTGACTCCTGTTCTTGGTGGTACAGTTTGAGCAGTTATTTTTATCATATCTGCATGTAGAAACATGATTAGCATATTCTATTAATTTCAAAATATCACTACAATGCGGATCAAAATAACATTTACAAAGTAAATTCTCTAAAATTTGAATAGATTTTGGTCCTTCAGCAGGTCTATTCCTATTAATCAAGGGTTCTCGACATGTGGGACACCTAATGGGTTCATTGGGATTGCTATATGCAAGTGCTGCTATTCTAATCTGTTCCGTTTCTTTATGTTTAATTAGGCACTTGTGAGGGCAAAGGGAAGACAGGCAATTACTACATGTTTGTAAGCGATAATTTTCTAGGACTATTTCTAAACATATGGTACAGGTAAAGTCTTTTATGGTTTCTTGGTCTAACACCTGCTCGTCGGTCAATCGCATAGGGTCTTCATCTTCTTCAGCTTCCGATTGTGTTGTTTCTTGATGTTGTACATTATTATAACCGGATGTACTTGGTTGATTGAATTCAGCCCAATCAATTATTCCATCATAGTGTTGAAAATGGCGGGTTGCGCGGTAGAAATCTGGTAAGTCATCCTCGTCCGTACTCTCGGATTCAAGGTCGACAAGCATTGGAATCTGCTCTCTTGGTCTTAGTTGATAAGGCATCTTGGTATGGACCTAAATTTTGAAATTAATTGATTATGATTATAATTCAATTTGCTTTGAGCAGTAACTGCCAACTATTCTACGTTAGTATATATATTCGCTATCTACATGTTATGATAATAATATTTTTGGCTAATATAAAGAACTTAGTGGTATAACTTTCTGTGTTCTATTATTTTGATCAGGTAAGATATTGACTGATACTACAGGTCGTCTTATACAATAACAGATTGTTGAGATAAATTTCGTCAGTATAAGTAAGACAAAACATAATGTTATGATTGCAAGTGAAAGAGTAATTAAACTTTTCTTTATCCATTCAACCCATGAATTACTAGCTATAGCTCCTTTATGTTCCTTGACCAGATTTTGCAATATCTCTATATCATGAGATAGCGTATCATTTTGTAAAGCTGGTTGAATGTCCAGTAACTTCCAATTTATTAAATTGGACATTGAAGTCATAGTATATTTTTCCAAATGCGCTAGTTGTGTAACTGTATAAGGAGTATCATCAATAGAGAAATTCAACGTCATTGCAATTTTCAGGATCTTATCTGGACATGTTTTAGTGTTTCCAAACAACGTTATATTATGGCCAACGCAATAAATATAAAAATGGTCATTTATCATTTTAACTTGAGGTTTTCTTATTTTGTATTTTGAATTCTCAACGCAGTTTTCATTAGACCAAATACTTATATTGAGTGTTCTATCACAATAATTAGGATAATGAACAAGAAAACGTTGCTTGACTTCCTCTGGATCAATCTGGCAGATTTCAGTTGAAGATGTATTAACCACTATATATTGTGGTCCTTTATATCTCCGCAAACAAATTGAGTTCCCTTCTTTGGTAAGTAAAGTGAAGGCATCAGCTTTTTGTACTACCAGATTAGTTTCTAGTTCCTTTACTTTGAAAGTGAGTGACATATACCATGTTTCGTTACTTTCTCCCAAAAATTGACATTTAGCATCTGTTACATCTTCCAATGGGCACGAAGCACCACATGGTAATGTGAGGTTGAAAAAGTCAAATGTCGATTTAGGTATAGTTCCTTGTGATATAATAAATTTCATTGTTTCTTGCATGGTTGATATTAAGCGATTCATTTCGTAACTTATATCGGCTGCTTTAAACGAGTTCTCCAGAGTTGTATTTTCCAATTGAGCAACTCTTATCTTTAAATCTGATAAAGTTGCTGACATTTCCATTAGCTTCGCCTGATAAGCTACAAGTATTTTAGATGTTTGTTCCATGAATTTATTTGTGATTTCCTCAGCTTCTGTTGGAGCACTACCGAAATTGTTGTAAAGGACATTAGTTCCAAGGACAACAAGTGAAGCTCCAAACAGTGCAGCTGATACGCCGAAATCTCTTCTTTGTCTGCCATTACTTCGAGTTTCCATTGATGTGCATAGTTCTTTGACTTTATTCATTTTCTCATTAATGTATTTTAGACAAGATTGGCGGGCTATGTAGAAAATATCGTTCCGATGAGTGTATTGAAAACAAAGCTGGTCAACCATCGCGTCACAAACAGGTCGTTTGAAGCCTTTTATTCCATCAACACATCCACGATAAGTTTTAGTTAGATTATCTATTTGCCACACGAATGTACAATCTGATTCGTTGAGACTCATCATACCAATTCTTTTATCGAAATAGCTCTTATATTCGGGAATTGATTTGCAAGGATTCACCATCATTATGGTTTGGTTAACTGCAATGATTCCTTTCAGAAATTTATTTGTTGAATCTTTCCAAATCAGGGGTTCGCCAAATTCGAAAGGGTTGGCAATCGATATAAGTAAAGTCAAAATCATTAAGATAACACTTTTGGAAAGAATCAAATTATTTTGTGATCTTGAAGTTCTTGAAATCGTAGAATAAGGTTTGATTTGGGATCCATGTACTCTTTTGGGTTCAGAGTGTTCGTCTTTCCTTACTAAGTACGTTGTTTCTCCAATTTTCTCAATTATTTCGTAAGGACCTTCATATTTAGAGTCTAATTTATTTGAGCGTACTTGTTTCTCGTATAAGACTAAGTCACCAATGCTGAAAGTTCTTAGCCTGCGCCTTCTTTCATAATTTTTACTTTGCTTTTCTTTCGATTCATCAGAGTTCATTCTTGCTTGTTCCTTGACTGTTGTCCACTCATTATGAATGAACTCAACATAGTCTGATAGTCTCAGTTCTCTATTATCTGGATTAATTTTCAAGTCAATAGGTAAAGTTGGTTCCCTTCCGTAAAGCAAGTAGAATGGAGAGAATTGTGTACTCTGATTTGTCGAAGTATTGTAGGCAAAGTTCATCAATGGTAATATCTGAGACCAACGAAGACGATTTGTTTCTTGACAATAATGACTCAGCATTTCACAAATTGTTCTGTTTACTCGTTCTGTCATTCCATTTGTTTGTGGGTGATATGTAGTTGACAACTGCCATTTTGTATTCATGAATAGGGCAATTTCCTTGATTGTGTCTGCTATAAAATTTCTGCCCTGATCACTCACGATTGTCTTCGGACAGCCATGTCGACAAAGTATATTTTCGATCAAAAATTTTGCCGTGTTAATGGTGTCCTTTTTAGCAATTGCTTTCATTTCCACCCACCGCGTAAAGTAATCAGTCGCCACGATGATGTATTCTTTCCCAGCAGATGGCGGTAAAGGACCTAATATATCGATTCCGATTTTCTCAAAAGGAGCAGACACGTAGATTGGTTTTAAAGGTGGAACTGCATTCCCAGTACCTTTTTTATTTCGTTGACATTCCTCACAAGTTTTGATGTAATTAGCAATGTCCCTGGACATTTTTGGCCAATAATATTTCGGCTTCAGTTTCGCATATGTTTGGTACAGACCACAGTGACCCGAAACGACATCATTATGGTAAGATTGCAAAATTGTTTTTATAAGTGAAGCCGGGACTACTGGAACCCAGTTAGTGCCTGTTTCAGTCACAACTTTTCTTTGAAGGATACCATCCTGTAATCTATGGTTTCGAATGATTTTATTCCGAATTCTTGGTTCTAGTTTTTCGATATCATTTAATTGTTGTATTTGAGCTTGAATTAATGGATCATCTCGTTGTTGATTCATTAGATTGATAGATTCATCTTCTTGTTCACTTATTAAAAGTGCAAAGATGTCATCTCCTTGTTCTTTATCATCCTCTCCGATGCTGTTGAACTCAGGATCGTTAGTTGGATAGCGACTTAAACAGTCTGCGTCCTTATGAATTTTCCCTGATTTATAAGTTATGGTAAATTCGAAAGATTGGAGGGTCATGGCATAGCGCATGAGTCTAGGTGGTAATTTAGTTTTAGATCTCATAAAACAGAGAGCACAATGGTCTGTTACAATTTCAAACTTGATCCCCTCCAGATAATGCCTGAATTTTTCAAACGCGTAGATAATTGCAAGGCATTCTTTGTCCGATATTGGGTAATTGATTTCGGCTCCACGAATTTGTCTACTCGCGAAGGCGACGGGTTTCCATTTACCATCATGTTTTTGTAATAATATAGCACCTAAACCAACATCAGAGGCATCAGTCCTTAATTGGGTTTCTAGGGTGTGATCATAGTGAGCTAGCACAGGTGCTCTTATCAAGCAAGCTTTCAGATATTCAAAGGCTTCCATTTGATCTTGTCCCCAAACGAACGGAGTTTCTTTCTTTGTTAATTGCGTTAATGGTTGAGCAATTTTAGCGAAGTCTTTTATAAACTTTCTATAGTAGGAGCATAATGCCACAAAAGCTCTTATGTCTCTCAATGTTAACGGGATAGGAAAGTTTTTTACAGCACGTATTTTCTCTGGATCAGGCTCTTGTCCAGCGTAGCTTATGATATGGCCTAAGTAAAGTATTTTCCGCTTAAAGAAGAAACATTTGTCAGGCTTTAGAGTCAATCCAGCTGCCCTTAGCCGGTTAAAAACGGCTTTTAGGCGGACAAAATGTTCCTCAATAGTTTTACTGAAAACTATTATGTCGTCTATGTAGACCAAACAACACGAATATTTTAAACCTGATAAGCAACAGTTCATCAGTCTTTGAAAAGTAGCCGGAGCATTACATAAGCCAAAGGGCATCGTGACATATTCATACATGCCAAAACTGGTAACAAATGCACTTTTTTGGCGATCTTCTTTAGCCAGTTCAACCTGATGATAACCTGATCGAAGATCCAATAAGCTAAAATATTGCGAACCTTTAAGTGCGTCCAACGAAACATTAATATTGGGAATTGGATAGGAATCTTTAACGGTGATTGCATTAAGTTTTCGATAGTCAACGCACATTCTCCAATCTCCTGTTTTTTTGCTTACTAAGACAACAGGAGAGCACCAAGGTGAGAATGAATCTACAATTATTCCATCTCTTAATAATTCCGCAACAGTTTGTTTTGTTATTTCTCTTTTTTGTTCACTTTGAGAATAAGGTGATTGAGCAATAGGTGGGTGATTTCCAGTTTCGATTTTGTGTTGAAAGAGATTAGTTCTTACTAATTCTTGAGCTGAAACAGCAAAAGCTGTACGATATTCATTGCATAATTTCACCAATTCTTTTTCCACACCTCCAGGCATTCCACTCTCTATGTTTAAGGGAAGTTCTCTATCCACAATTGATGACAGAGGATGATTCTCTGATTCACTTTCAGGACAATCTGAAGATTGGATTATGCCCGAATCAGAAGAGACAAAATCGTTTAAGTCGTAAATTTCATGTGACTGTTCACTTTCTAGATGTGACTGTTCCTCAGGTGATTGTAACGAAGATTCGTCGTCAGTAGTGATTAATTCAACATGTTTTTCAGTTCCAATCTTGATTGTTTTATCACCACAATTGATATTAATTTTAGCTTCGCTCAGTAAATCTTGTCCAACTAATACTTTGAATTTACGTGGTAATTTTTTTACCACTTGTAGCTTAGTGTCGATAACAGCCACTTTCGAACCATCGGTGATTTTCATTTGAACTTTGACTTTACCTAATATTGGTAAAGGTTTGTTGTTAGCTGCATAGGGGACTGGTCCATCATAATTTTTGACTTTCAAATTTAAATTATCGGCCAGTTCTTTAGTAATGAGTGAGATCTCAGATCCCGTATCTAACATTGAATCGACTTTTACTCCATTTACTTTGACAAATTGTTGAATCAAATTTTTATGCAATATAAAGACGACAGGGTTTACAATGTATTGGTCATCTGGTTCATATTCATAATCAGAAACTGGTTCTTCTTCCGTTTCCTCATCCTGATAAGCCATCACTCGAACCTGGGGAGCTTTGCCTCGTCCACGTCCACGTCCACGACTAGGGGGTCGTCCTCTTTTAGGAGTTGCTGATCTTTCTCTCGATCTTCCCCGCCGTGTTTGTTTAGGAGCCTCGGCTGTTTTTACTTCAGTTTCTTTTTTCGAGGTCGAAGGTCTGTCACGCCAATTTTCTGTTTCATTTTCTTTTTGTGGTGGCTTTCTTTCTGCAAAAGCACGATTCGTGACTGCCGGTCGTCCTGGTTGATAATTGCCTGATGCTAAGGCAGCTTGATAATTATTATTGGCTTGAGCAATTACTTGTTGATAATTTGGATCATTCATGATTGTAGGATGTCCATAATTTATTACTGAGTAAGGTTGAACCCCAATAGGGTGGGTTTGGTTAGATTGGTTAGTATTATAATTTGGATTAGGTTCCACTGGATTTCGATTTGCATAGTGACATCGGTCTTCAGTGTGTCCAAGTCTTTTACAAATAGTACAGCGTCTGGTGAAAGTTTCCATGCGCTCTTTTATCTGCTGAACCTGGGTTTGTAGTTGTATTATCTCTCTATTTGGTGGTTCAAAAGGATTTGCACAACTATGCATTGCTCGTTCTGCTAAGCGAGCTCTCTCAACCAATTCCTGTAATGTTTTCGGATTATGTAGCGCTATACCGTATTTAATTTGGGGTAATAATTTTTCTTTGATCATGCTTACAATAAAAACTTCGGGAGTTTTTTCATGAATTCGGAGACAGAGTTCATTCATTTCATAAATAAAAGCAACAGCAGATTGTCCGATCTTTTGGGTTGCTTTATAAAGTTCTTGCGAGAGATATGATCTATAATCCGCCGGACAAAGATCTTCGACCATACGATTTTTCAGATCTATGTAATTAGTTGGTACATGTTCGGGCATGACTTGGCCAGAGATAGCATAGTACCATCGTCTAGCTGTACCTTGTAAATACGCCGGAATGGCGTTGAACATATCAGTCTCGCTCCACCCCAAAGCTTTCGCAGAGAACTCAAAGGTTTGAAACCAATCAATAATGTTTTCATCATCGTCACCGGAGAAGTAATTTATAGTTAGTGAAATGTTGGGTAAGGGTAATGCAGGACCAGTTGTTACAACCGGAGCAGCTGCCACAACTGGAGCCGCTTCTTGTTGGGTTAATTGCGAGTTTGACTGATTCATACTGTTACTCAGAACAGATACTCTATTACGCTGGGCCAGAGTGATGATCAATGGCAAAACGTATCAAGAGTATGGCGAACCAGAGAGCAAAAGCAATCAATGGTGAGACTACTAATATCAATTCAGATGCTATTATTTCTATTTCGTCCTCTTCTTCGGAGTCTATTTCGATAATTATATCTTGATTTTTTGAAGGTTTGATTATTGGATAGCTATAAATATTCATAGATTAAAGGTTTCTAATGTCGACTGATAAAGCGTCGTTTGTTTCGTAACATAGAAGGGTGAAATCTATTACTGTTTTGTTATGATGTTGATAAAATACGACTACTGGTTGGTGTTCACTATAACGAGGGTGAGGTATTAATGCAATAGCTACTGCATTAATTTCAATATTATTATTGGTTTCAGTCATTCAGTTATATTTTATCTAAATCTAGGGGGTACAGGTCTATCAGTTGACTGTACACCAGCTAACGTACAATCTACTATTAATTTACTATTATATGAATAAACTAAAGTAATTGGTTGTTTACCTCCGTATGAGATGCGATTTCTTAGTGGGGTAACAACAATATTTAATTTTAGTTTATCATCCGATTTTGTCATGGATAAGTGTATATATGTTATAAATTTCTATTATTAATTTCCAGGAGAATTTGGCGAGAGTGGAGAACTTTATTTGTTAATTAAGTAGTTTTTTTTTTGTCAAAACAAAATAGATTTACTTGATGCTCCTCTTTTACTGGCAAGCAGTATACTGAATCTAGGTTCAGGAAAAGTATCAAGTATTGTGGCACAGTAAATATACGAGTGTATAATTGTTATTTTTAGCGAATGTTAAATAGGCTAATTGATTGTGAATAAGACAACTTGATAATCTTCAATTTTAATACTGAAACTAAGTTCAGGAAGACAAGCAAGTGTACAATATGATGATGAATAGCTATATTTATCTTTAATTTGTATTTCAAGTTTATTAGATCTTTCTTTTTATTTATGTATATATATTCTGCGTAAATTCTTGAAAAATTAATGGTTTACAATTTTATTTCCGAATTAAGTGAGTTTCGTAAGAATTTGTAAATTAAGAAAATTATCGGTGGAAATTATCAGTAACTCAATAAAATACAATGTGGTGTCAATAAAATACTGAATCTAAGTTCAGATGAAAAAATGTAACTAGGTATAGTTGCACAGCTTGTCAATCTTCAATCTTAATACTGAACTAAGTTCAGGAAGACCGACAAGTGTATAATTTTGCTATGAATAGCTTATTTCTGCAATGTGAATTGCCTGTTTAGATATATTTTGATATATAGATATCTGCGCAGGTGCTAGGCATTGGCTTCAAATAATGGGCATCAATTGACTATATTTATTTTGGGCTATTACTCAATACGAGTATTTATAAGTTGGTAAATCCGTCTGGGTTTTTCTTACAAGTTAAGAGAGTAAATTAAATTTTCAGACTTTTCTGATTTGAATATATGTACATAGTAATAGTCAAGTTGATTTTTCTTGATTCCTCTAATTTTCTTCGCGATTGTAATATATTAATTTTCTAGTCAATAGCTATGCTATTTTACATGCAAATTCTCCGTAAAACTAGCTACTTACGTGTTTGTAGTTTATAGTTAAATAGAAATCGTAAAACCGTCCAGATGTTATGACCAATTGGTAAAGACTACCAGGATGTTGTGTCCTTTGTAGAAGTAATTGTTGTCCTTTTTTTTATGTAGATTAGTTTAAAATGATGTGTGTATATATTGTGTATATATGTACAGTTGGTAAATTCTATTGTTAATTCACACTTATTTATTCACAATTAATAAGTCAAATTGTTGTGTTTCACGTAAACAGTGAGTTTGATGATGGTGTATATATATGTACAGTTGGTAAAATTTATAGTTAAAACTACTCAAGATATTAACACTTAATGAATTCAACTCTTTTTAACTAGAAAAACTAATTTAAATTTGATAACTTAATTTATATTACTTAGTAGCACTAATGAATTTATTACAACTTAAATTTTAACAATTTTGATCAAAAGAGAAAATTAAATTTCCTTGGAAAAACTAGTTATTACACTGAACACAGTTAGCCTTACTCGGCATCTCCACCAAAACTGTCGAGTTTTTCCAAGAAAGCGTGGTTTATTTCTGGTTTCTCTCCCTTTTATAAGGGCTACAGTTTAACTAAAATTATCTTGTTCCCATATATGGGTCTAAAAAAAGACTACTACAAGCCAAGTCTTTCTTGGCTTGCAACATGCATGTAATTCTAAATTTAGTTTACAAAATGATAAATGATTGTGTGTTCAATAAGCTAATGATAAAAAAGTCTCGGAAGGAAAAAAACTTTCGGGAGGAACGTCTGAAAACGGAAGGAGAAAAGTTCAAGAAATCAGAAATTAAGTGAATTCGAAAATTTAGATTTCGAATTTTAGAGATAATCAGAGTAATCAATAATACCGAACACAATGAAGACTGAAACTCTTCGTCTTAAGATCAAAAGAAACCATCATAAGGTCGAAACAACAAAAATTACGAGTTAACTTTTCCATGAAAATAATCGGTTTTTAGAAAATCAGTGTTGAAAATTTCTCATATTAGATTAGTTCAGATTGGCAGATAAAACCAAACACAATAAAAAATGAAATTCTCTGTCCTAATCTTCAAAAGAATAGCCGTTTTGCCTTCGAACCAAGCGAAACCAAAGTATTAATAAAATTCAAAATGGACAGAAAATGCGAGTCGAAAGTTTTTATGAAAACTCGTCTCTCAACATCAATATTTAGAAATCAATTTATGCGTCAATTGAAAATGAGAATTTTCATGTCATTACTTCATTATCATTAGTTAAATCGTTGTTACGTGAAGCTGTAATAAACATAATGACTTATCGAATTGAAAGGAATGTAAACTCATGTTCTGCTTCATTATTACTATTATCTGTAGTTAAATGTAAACTTGAACTGATCTGTAACGATAAAGGGCACAAATCGCAAAAAAGCATAAATAATGTGAGTATGAATTTACATCTTAATGGTTAATCAGAGCAAAAGTGAAAAGCGAAGCAACGAAATGTCCATTTAATAATAATAAAACTTGGAGTAAAATTATATTCGTTGCTAATAGTTGTTGCAAATATAATCAAGATAATGATTATCAAGGAAGGTTAACAATTGTTCCTAATAATATTTACATTAATGAACCTCAGTTTTTTTCATTTTCATGATGAACTGATGACTGAAAAACGATTATGAATTAAAGCAAAAAATTGGAAAAAAATAATTTCCATGGAAACTGAATGACTTATTTTATTGTTATTTTTACTCTTTCCTTCCCATTCATTCCCTGTCCAAGTCTCAGTTTGACTTCTTTCCTTTGCTTCCTCCACATGGTATCCACATTCGTGCATCATGAAGCCTCCTATTGGCCCAGATTTATGTTCAAGATCGATAAGTCTAACCAGGAAAAAAAGATCATTATTCACCTGATTAATAAAATGATGAAACTGAATAAATGGTTAAGGTGAAAATGTAAGGTTAAAAGAAACGGAATGCCAATTGAAATGAATATTTATATAAACATATTTCTTGTTCATTATTCAGTTTGATGAAATGTTGTAATTAACCAAGCAACATTTGATTTCATTTCAATTTATCTGAAATGATCTCATGTCAAACTAGAAGATTGTCAATGTTACCCTCCAATTATTATCAAGATCATAATGAGCCTGAAAAAATATTAATTGATATTAATGTTAATGTATTCTGCTTTACCTTTTATTCCTTGCGGAATGTTAGTAGCTTTTTGCTGTTACCTGATCGCGATAATTATCATAATTTAGAGTTTAGTGTTTGTAATTATTACTTATATCAATTTTGGTTATTGGAATGAAACTTTTTTTTTCGTTTTTTTCTTCAATCAATTAGGTTTGCTGTAAATTGAGTCAACTTTTTCAATTATTGATAAATCGAAAGTTTTTTTCCCTTTTTATGACTTATGAGTTTGTTCGTGAAATGAATTACTTGTTCTTTCCACATTATTTGGCTAATTAAAAAGATTGTATTTCGATTTCAGTTAACATCATAAATTATTAGCAACTTTATCCCCTTCGAATCTCATCACACTTTGCAATCAACGAAAGCAACATTAATCAATTCTGGTTCCTTGAATTAGAAGTGATGAACAAACTATTCATAAATGATCGCTACTTTGTGCTTCTGAATAAAAGAATAGCCGAAGATTCGAAGAGAAATAAGAGTTTTACCATTTAGTAATACAAATTGCAAGCTCATTGATTTCCTCTTTCGTTTGGCTTTAAAGCAACGAACATAGCATTTAGCTGCATCGAGTTTAACTATAGTCGCTACTAAACAAAAATCGGGAAATCGTTATAGTGTTATCTATTCTCTGTATTTTGCTGAGATACTAGGCCTGAAACTATTAAAAATGCGATGAAAGTAAATCTTTCTGCAAAATAGAGCTGATCCGCAAAGAGAACGGAAGACCAGATTTGGTTTAATTTCCTTTCATTTAATTCTATTTTCTTGTAATCTAGTTCTCAATTACTAAGCCATGTGGGCAAAGAATCGAAATGCAGAGCAAAAGTATAAGAGAAACAATTGCTTTGATCATAGCTTTCGAGCTGGTTTTGGTACAGTTTGGAAGAATTGCAATTCGTTGCAAAGCCTTCATAAATTGAAATTTCAACCATAGAAACGCTCCAATTAGTTCGTGTCTATGTTACAGTATCGCTATCTTCGAATCAATTCATCTTAATGAATATCTAGCCTAAATATGCAATTTTTAAGTCAATAAATCATAATTGTTTCAGTTTGTTCATTTCATTTACTAATAACAAGTCTTTTTTCTGAAATGCAATACCAAAATCGAAACCAGATCAACCTTAATAGCCAGAAAGAGTGCAACTTCATCCAGATAAATATCGGTCTAATGTTTTCTTGTTATTAACCTTTATCCCTTTAATTAACGATTTATGAGCGTAAAAAGACAGCAAAAATTGAAACAAAATTGACCAATTTGATAAATAACCTATCATTTTGGAAGGAACGAAAAGAAAGAGAAATCGATAAATTTCTGTAAATGAGTAACCTTAATCCCAACACTTTTCAATATCATTAGTTAAACGACAGTCCATTTGCAGTTAGACAATTAATTTTAAAAACTAAACTAAAATCAATCTCTAGTTTAATTGTTTGTGTGCAATTTTAAAAACACTGAAATCGATGAAAATAATGCTTGAAAATAGCATCGCAATCGAAAGGATCAAGAAAATTTCACATTGAATAAGCACTCAAACAATCAGTCTATTTGGATGTTCAACAGCATCAAACAAACATTGCGTGTCATCATTGAATAGAGAAGTGTTAAAATGGAAATTAATCAAACGCTAATAATGATTTTATCACAATTTTCGAATTGATAATTTTCTCGAGAGAATTTTGTAGTTCAACCATTTTTCCATTTTTCAGCATTTCCAATCTGCTCGACTGTTCATTCAAATCTACGAATTGAATTGAACCAAACCTTTCGTTATTCATGAGTGAACAACAATAATCTTAATTTTGAGACAATTTCAATAGTAAATTATAATGTCACGAAAGTTTATTAGTTTATAACACGAATAATTGATTTAAAGGTTGAACCTTTTTGTTTCTTCAATCAAACAATTGCAACTGCAAATTATGACTTGATTATTAAAATAGAAATGATTAATGAATTTACAACAATGGAAATGAAATTTTCAAAGAAATGCAATGTTTTCGTTTTTCTTTGCTCTTTAATTTTGATCAAACTAATTGTTAAACTTTGCGACATCAACAATTATCTTTATTGTTGCAACTACAAATTTAAACTCCCAGTCAATTATAAACATTTTCATCACTAAAATGGTTTCCTTGCAACATGATAGTCTTCAGTAATTGTTGTTTTCAATTTGTTTTTTGCTGTCAAACCGAATCAATTAATCTTTAAATATAATTTAATTGAAATGGAATGGTCGTGCAATTGCTTATTAGATAATCAATAATGAATTCTTGGAAAAGTTACTCAAATTTTCTTACAAAGAACTCAATTCTCTGCAATAACAGTTAGTAAACAGTCTTTAAGAAACGATATCAGGTTAACCAGAAATTTTCATCGATTTTAACTTTTCTTACAACTATCGTCAAACATGACTTCAGTTTGATGCTTTGGATATTGACCTTAAAAGTGGTGTTATGAAAGGACTAGGTTTTAGTCAAATAAAGAATAAGTTTTCTCGAGAATTATTCAAGTTACTTTATGAAATAGCATAACTTGAATAATCTGAGTAGAACAAAATATTGAACGTTTTCCTTGCAAATCCTCTTTTTTATTGTCATTTGTCCCAAAAGCACGCATTGATGTGCAATGCTTATTAGTTTTTTGACTTTCTTTGCCAATTTATAAACAATAAAATGGTTAAATTGTTGTTTTGCATGAAAATGATTTGAATTTAGTTTTGAATATTATTAAGTTTTGCATTTGGTTGACATGAAGTTGATTCGCTTTGAAGGTTTTGACTAAAGTTGGTGAATGGTGAAACAGTTAAATTGATTCATCGTGATGAACATGATCCCAACTGTTTCATTGGTTTCATTTGTGCATTTAATCGCTATTAATTTATTAGCGTTTCTCTTTTGCATAAATGGTTATTTCTCGTGATGTTTACTGTTTAAGAAATGATCAAATAGCAAAGCTTAAAGACGATGAAAAATGACATTTGTTACATTTTTTAATGTTATTTACCTGAAGAAATGTCTTTGAACAAACATCTACCATTGTACAGAATTGAACTAAAACCAGCCTTTTGCTCAACAGAACTGAGTAAGTTTAAAACTGAAATTAACTAATCGCTTTACTGCTAATGTCGATTCAATCGGTATAATAAGAGTTTTGGAAAGAATGATTTCTCAGCATTGGAACTAAATTGACTCTTGAAGGAGTTTTTGATGACACAATTGACAATGGAACATGACATTTGACAAAAAATTGACTTTATTAGCTTAAATGATGCAAAAAGATCGACTGTTTGCAATTTAAAACCAAAGTCGGCCAATTAAAGCTTCACTTGCTTTCCATTTTTATGTAACTTGACAAGTTTTCATTTCATTTTTGACTTCTTCAATGATTCGTAAAATGTAAGACTTTAAAACAAAAGTAGATTCGAAGCTTAAAGACTAGTTTATAACATATCGAGTTTGTTCAACTTTAGTCTTGAAAGAGTCACGAAGAAACTTGGAGTAAGCAATGAATTTTTGACA